GAAATGTTACCTACATAGGTGCACAGGGCACAAAGAAGTGGCAACAGCAGAGCAGAATAAAAACAGCAAAAGAATAAGGAGTTTATAACTTTATTGCTTTCTTTACCAATCCAGAAGAGTTTTAACCAAAGGAAATGGATAATTACTGAATTAAAGGTATTTGCTTTTACAGCTTGAGAAGCTAGGAGTTATTGCATCTAGAACTGTCATTCCGAGAAACGAACACGTTTCAGCCTTTGGGACATCTTTAGATTTATATAATAGACACACTCCCTCTTCATTTCTTTTGCCATGACTATTTTCAAATTGAGTAACCAAGAAACCTAGATAATTAAGACTTGGTTCTACACGAATGAAGACTCTGATTTTAACATAAAGTGAATTGTAATGCAACAAAATTGTTACCTAACAAAGTTTCTACTTAATATAATCACCTCCAAAGAACTTCCCCAATACTGTTATAAAGTTCAAGTTGATTTACTTACATAAAGAGATTTTTACTGGGGAAGAGAAATAAAAAGAAACATTTTTTACTACCTTCTATATGTGAAAAGTTATACACATTTTACATCATTTAATCTTTACTACTACTCCATGAGGAAAATATTATCCCCACTGTAAAAAGTATGTGGTCAACCAATACTATTTGAGTCGGAGCAACAATCTGAACCCAAATCCATCCGACTCCAAAGCCCACTGATATTGCTTTGTATATGAAACTTCATTCTGGATTTAAAAGCAGAGAAACCTTTAAAGTAATTAACTAACTCTTGCACTGGAGCTGATGTGGAAGTCTAGGAAATGGTCGATAATTGCATAGTAAACAAAGGGTAGTAACTGATTATCCCTATTATGCCAGTGCCAAGCCAAAATTAGAATACAAACCAGAGTCCAAGGGAGTGACACAGGGCCAAACCAAGGTGCAAGAGCTCTGTTTCACTTATTTATTACTCATTTCTGACTCTGCATATTTTTTTTGTGTGTATAATTGTCTGCTATCTGTGCACAGGAGCTAAGAAGAAAATGATGACAAAGGTGAAAAAGAACAAAAAATTTTTAAATTAAAACAAGGCTAGAAATTAATATAAGAATATTCCTTCTTTAAGAGAGTGTCTACAAAAGAATCCAGTAAACCACTATAGTAACCCCCATCTTCCATTAGAAAAAATTAAAATATTGTAATATGAAAGTTCTCAAAATATACTTTTGAAATAACATTTTTAGAATACTTTAAAAATCTATTTAGTCTCTAACATTTGTAATTGATTCTGGCCGATGTTTTGAACATTATGCCATGGCAAGATATCAATGGATCTCCTCTCAAAAACAGTCAGCAATTAGGAACTCACAAGAATTTCTTATAAGGTAGACTAAATACTGCATAGAAAAACAGACTGAAGTAAACAGAGCAAAGGCTAGAGTATATAATGCTTCCAGCTATTAGCAGCTGAAGTAAACAGAAATCCCTGTGACATTATCCTGTAAGCAATGAAAATATGAAAAATTTAAGCATGGCCAAGAGAAGTCCACAAGCCACTGGTTAGGGAAACCATGAGTGACTAAGCAAAAGACATCCAATATTTGACTGCAAATGAAGCTTCTACAAACAGAAAAGTTTGCAAACACTAAATAGCAAGTGTGTCAAATTTCTTAGGCAAGATGATAGATACTGCAGGTAAATGAAGAATGTTCTTCATAAGTAGGGTGGCCATATGTCTCAGTTCATAGCCACCAGTGCCCTGGTATAATTATTTACAGCACTCCCTTTTGGTCTCAAAGTGTTCCAGTTTGGCCATTATATTGTTATCCTACTCGAAAGTAATCTATAACAATGGAAAGGCAATGAATTAAGAAAAGAAGGGAGGGCGGGAGGGAGGACTCCTTTGCTCGCATAATGGCTTCCCATACAGATCTGAGGAGTATTTCATTAGGTGTATCCACTCAGGCATTTAATTATTCATTTACTCATTCAGTCATTCAACAATATTTAGAGTCTTATGCCCCAGCACTGTACAGGCACTGGAGAAAATACAAAAAGTAAAGCTTGAGAGCAGGCAAGAGGGAAAAACAGACAGACATGAAAATGCTTAAATCTAATACATATAACAGTAAACCTGAATGGCACCAGAAACACAGAGAAGGGAGTGGTTTTCCCAAAAATATACAAAGCTCCATACGGAAATGTTCAAGCTCACACAAAATCTCTACATACAAAAAAAGCCATAAAACTCAGGCTTCATCATAGATCCACTAACAAAATAGCAGTAAGAAAAAAATTAACAAAATCTATCACTTCCAAATCACAAGGTTATAAATATAAAGGGCCAGCACACAGTATTTGTGAATTTTGGTAAATAAATCCCACTCATCATTAGAGATTATGAGAAGCAAGATAAATTTCAGCAAAGAAAACTGTTAAGAGTAGAAGTTATAGGTCCTAATTCTAGCTCTCAAAACACTTTTTTTTAAAAAAAAAAAAAGGAAACAGGTTGTACTCAGAATGGCTATTTGGAGAGCGGCCAATAATGAAAAAGCACTTCAGGGTAGGGGGTCAAGCAATTTTTAAAAGTCTTATTCAGACTAATGAAAATATTTTGTAACCAATAGTCTCAAAGATGACTCTAAAACAAGTAAAGAAAGAAGGACCAAAACATATCTCAAGTAACAAAATACTGAGCAGAAATAAAATGATTTAATGCATACAATGAACACAAAATGCTTAGCTGTACCTACATGCTCATTTTAGAGTTTACTCTAAAATAAACTTACTTTTCCATTTGCAACTCATAGAAACTAAATCAATAATTTCTGAGAGTTAAGGAGGGTGTGACTTTTCTGAAACCATCCTTGACCAAACAAATCATTAACCTCACCAACCTGGTAAGACAACCCGTAATTGGTTCATTAAGACAGAAATGTGTTTCTTTTCCTAATATGATTTCTTTTAATAAGAATCCCCTTAAAGTGCATCATTCATTTTCTATTTCTGCTAGTAGAAATTTAAGCTAGATTATCACTGTTTTATCATTAGGTGAAATCATCCTTTTAGAAAAAATTCAGTTTCACTACAAATATGACCTGAGGTAACTGGAACTGCAGGTCTACATGCAGTCTTTACAGGAGATTTGCCTCTTTGGAAGCATAACCAAAATGGGACAGGTGTACATAGTGGAACTGGCTAAACTTCCATACGAAAGCTTAAAACTAGGAACTTATTTTGGTAGACTGGTGATGAAATCAGAGTTCTCTCTGGAGGAAAAGAGCTGATTTCCCCCCCAGCCCCAGCAAAAATAAATAAATAAATAAATAAAAATAAAGAACTCCTGTAGCGTTTTTTAACTCCCACCTCACTAAATATTTTTAAGGGTTAATGTGTACACTAGCTTTCCAAAGTATACAAAATTACAGAGAAAGTAAACAAATTTACTGACCATATAAATGATCAAAAAATTATATTCCTAAAATACTTACTACTAAACAGTCATTTGCAATAAACTAGCAGAAGCATACATCAGTTCTTATCAAATCACGAGGTCTTTGGGCTCTTTAGTCCTTATATTTCCTCTTGGTCATTTAATAATGCACACACAGGTACATAATAAAAACACTGAGAAATCTGTGAAACATTCATTAAACATAATTGTGTAAGCATATATCATGGTCTTGAATTAAAGTATCAAAAGCTTCTGCAATAATAATCAATACTGTATTTTAAAATGACTGGGAAAATAAACTTTTGGGAAAAGGTCATTTCTATCTCCCTCGTGTCTAATCTACTCTACAGGGTTAAAAAAAAATTAAGCAAAAGCTCTAAATTGTAGGGTGGCTCATTTGAGAAAAACAATGTAAAATGAAGAATCTAGTAACGTCAGAAATGTTGTGCAAGAATTGTTCTTTCAGCTAGGAGTAGCAAGCACGCTATAAATTCTGCCTCCATTTTCCCAATTCCTCAAATGATTAAAAAGTTCCCAGTCCCAGTTTTACCTCTGCACCACAGGCATACACTTACACACTCAGCATCTTGGCTCAGCACAAATCACTGGCCCACTGGGTGCAAACTGGCGTGGGTGGAAAAGCAGGGAGACACTAAGGATGTGGAACCCTTACAAGGAGAAAAGGACGGGGCAATCATTACCTTCGTGATCCCATCTATCTAGCGGAGATTTGCAGATTCCACCACTAGAGTTTGGCAGCTTCACAATGGGACCGCCTGCTCAAGGTCTGGCTGACCGCCGCATGGAAACTCCTTTCCTCCGCTTCCCACCCGCCCCAAAGTCCATCCGCGACAGGTGGGGTGAGGGCGGCGATGCCCAGCGACATCTGCCGCTTTCGCTTCTGGCCAGCTCCCGGCGCCAATCCACACGCGCGCCCCCGGCCAAGGCCGGCCCGTC